TATGCTAATTGCTAGTACTTTGTATGGTCGTTTTAGGTCATCGTTTTTCTTTTTGTCAATAACCTTGATTGGAATTAATCTCGCGAGTCGAATAAGCCACCAGTGCGTGAACTCACGGAACCCTGCTGAACCTAATCATATACCTAAAATAGCTGCTTTCACGACAAGTATCTAACACACATTTACTGATAGTTGATGCGATTTGGTCAAATTTGGTTCATAGTTGATTCTCAATTGCTTTAGCTTGGGTTGCACTAGTTGCTTATTGACCTTATTAATCATATTATCAGACGTTCCTTTTAAATCAAACATTTGAACAAAATTACGTTATGAAAATAGCTATACAGTAAAACAGATTTGGCTAGATTCGTCTGACATCCGCCATGAAAACGGCTGATACATGGCCTCATTTGACCAGCTCATCTTGACCTCAGCGGTTTTGATGTGACTTCGACCTGAGGAAAACACCTTAAGCTGACCTCTTCCAAATACAGTTATATCATTACGGTCAACTGGTGACCTCTGTGGTCAGGTCAAATGCCCTGAACCAGGGATTAATTTTCTGTCAATAAATCCCCAAATGGTCGCAGCACCGTCATTTCAGTACCTGACACTTATCTGGCACCATCGTGTTTATGATGCTCCGCCGGGTAGAATGGTGTGCTGATATTTTGGAAAGCTCAGCTTAACGTGCTTACTTCAGGTCAAGGTCAGAACGAAGTCGTTCAGGTTACGAATCTGGTCGATTGAGATGATTCTGAGTACCTACATTGATGACCCTTCCCCCAATGATCTCATTTTGTTTGGAATCAATTGACGAAAAATTATCCCATCAAACAGCCTTAGTGACGTCACAAATGACGTTCCGTTTTTATGTCGTCACGCAAGGTCCAGGAGCAAAACTGAAACATCGGACCTAGCAAAGAATGCGTGAAGTACATTCTCCTCGTAAATAATTGTTGGCAATGAGGGCATTTCGATCTTGCGACATTTTTAACATTACATAGACTTACTTATTTGACGTAATAGTTCAGTGAAGTGACCCTATATAAAGTTCGTTTGGTGTCACAAGCTAAATCAAAGATAAGTTGTAATAACTTTTAGCGCTCTATCGCCATTGCGTCCCTGGCAGTGATGAGAAAACCGTCAGAGGCGGATAGTACTCGCTCCCACGGCCACATGCGGTTTAACCTCGCTCTCTTGAGAACAATACGTCATTATGACGTCTTTGACTATTTGGGACCTAGCTTAGCTTGCGTAGGTGTCCTAAGTCTCTTTAGAAAAAATTAACAGAGTTGCAATGACCTCTCAATCACATTTGACCGTTCTCAGTTCGGACCAGTTGACAGTTATTGTTATTTTTTCCACTGTACGACGAAATTTAATGTTGTATAGCGACCTTAAGAGGAAAAACACCTTTTTAATATTTTCATCATTCAATGGCAATGCGTTGAGAAGACTTTTACTGCAAAAATAAATTGCAAAAAAAGATGGCCACATTCTCAAAATTTGATTTTTACAAATAAATCATATGTAAAAAAAAAATAAAAATCGAAAATTTTCCAAAATAATTGATATCACACAAATCTTTGTTTAATTCCAATTGTGGGGATATGCAGTTTTATATGAATCTTATGAGTATTTAGCGAAATATCCGCGGATGAAATTTATAGTTTTTATGCTAGTCATTAAGTTGCCTGGGGCAATATCTCCCAAAGTATTCGACGGATGTGATTGAAAATGTCACAAAACGAATCGCCGGGCTAGATAACCACATAGCCGAAATTTCATTAAAATTGGAGAGGTAGGGTGTTATTTCGCGATTTTTTTGGTCCATTTGTCGTGGAATGCCCCTGTTACCTGACTGGGCGCCGGCCGCCGGTCCTCCGGAAGGGTCACTTTGGTATGCGAACTCTTCACCGCACTTGCCCACTGTCAGAGAGTGTACTGAGGGACAGTAGTTTCTAACAGCTCGTTCGATTGGTCTGCCTGCTCAGCCAATCATATTCTGGCAACCTTGGACCTTGGGACCCAACGTCGCTATGGTACTTCCGTATAGCCTGAGGCACCTGGGTACTTATGAATCTTGGGTCCCGTTGGATTCTGGGTCCGACTGTACTTGGGTACATTTGATACACACCCGTCCGGACCCCGGCCCGCGCGCCCGCCCGCCCACTCACGCTGCTCGCACGTCCATAAGCGGTAAGGGAACAACGCAGACACCCTGAGTTAGCGTGGCGGCTCGGGACAGGCGGTAGAGATAAAAGATGAGGGGGTACTGATAAGGCATCTTATCAGCTAGGGGACGACGCGGCGCGCGGCGAACGCGCGCGGCGGCTCGGGGTCGGGATGAAAGGGAGGGAGAGAGGGAAGGAGTAGGTAGAGAGAGAGAGACGGGGGGCGCAGGTGCTGTTTTGACGAACTGACGCTAAAGAGGGGGGAGGGGAGCGGGGGAAGAAATGGCCTGTGGATCTTCTCTGTGTGGGGACAGCGAGGACAGTCCAGCGAGAGCGCTTGAGCCTGGTGGAGTGTATACGAATTTCTCTGCGTGCAAACAAGAACTTTAACTGCTAACGAGAAGTTGTAGTGCCACGTGACTCAGACCTCCAACCGTGATACCAGTCGGGGCGCCAGAGGACACAGGACACAGGCCAGGTGAGGGTGGAGCTACTGGGAGGCAGTTGCAAACAGTAAACACCTACCTACCACTTAATGGATATTGCATCTCAAGGTGTCCAATCCTGCCAGTTAATGGCGCGCGGCGAACGCGCGCGGCGGCTCGGGATGAAATGGAGGGAGGGAGGGTGGGAGTAGGTAGAGAGAGAGAGAGAGAGAGAGAGAGAGAGAGAGAGAGAGAGAGAGAGAGAGAGAGAGAGAGAGAGAGAGAGAGAGAGAGAGAGAGAGAGAGAGAGAGAGACGGGTGAGGCAGGTGTTGTTTTGACGGTTTCGACTGACGCTAAAGAGGGGGGGGGGAGGGGGAGCGGGGGAAAGAAATGGCCTGTGGATCTACTCTGTGTGGGGTCAGAGGACAGTCCAGCGAGAGCGCTTGAGCGTGGCGGAGTGTATACGAATTTCTCTGCGTGCAAACAAGAACTTTAAGTGCTAACGAGAAGTTGTAGTGCCACGTGACTCAGACCTCCAACCGTGATACCAGTCGAGGCGCCAGAGGACACAGGTCACAGGCCAGGTAAGGGTGGAGCTGCCGGGAGGCAGTTTCAAACACCTACCACTTACTGGATATTGCATCTCAAGATGTCCAATCCTGCCTGTTCATGTGTATGCCTCATAAACAACGATAGCTGCAGAACGATAAGGTGGCGGTCTATAGGTTTTGGTCTGCATGTCAAATTGACTAATTTTCGTGTGAGATAACTCCCGACCAATGTCATACAGTTCACATATCGATTAGCATGCAGCCTGAAACACATTTCGCACAAGTTGCTCTCGCAACCAGCTAAATATCGTATCAATGCCGTAAAAAAGCGCTGCTGAAGAGCAGCGCTATTTCTGATGCGTTATTTTTCACGAACAACGCAAAGTCTTACGTCACCAGAGGCGTCTTTGTCTCTTTATGATACGGAAACGCGTCCTTTTGGGTGGGGGTAGCGTCAATCTGGCTTCGTTCTTTTAACGGGTTCCGTCTTTCGTCTTCGTCCTTTTATGATAACCAAATTCCGTCTAATCTCAGAAATGACGGAGCGTCCCTCCGTTCTTTTCTTTATAAGAATGGCCACAGTGCTCGTCGAACCCGCTGCAGGCCGGGGGGTCAGTTGGACCTCCCGGCCGGAGCGCCGGCGCCGCCGCTGACTCGCCGTCCGGCCCTCCGCAGCACCATGCGCGAGCTTCAGGCGCTGAACGCGCGCGTGGCCTACTACCTGAGCGGCTGGGTGATCCGCATCCGCGGCACCATGTCGCGCGAGGCGCCCGTTCTGGTGGCCGCGCCGCACTCCACCTTCGGAGACGCGATCGTGCTCTTCTGCTCTGGCCTGCCGTCCATCATCTGCCGCAGCGAGACGATCGGCATGCCGTTCTTTGGCAGTACGTTGGACAGAGGAAGCTGAGACAGGGATAGGTTGCCGGCTCTCCGCGGTGTTAGGATCGGGCTGCGGGACTGGGGTGGCTCGGATAGCGTCATAATTGGTGATGGAAGATCCAGGTAGCACCGCAGGCTGCTTATAATCGTCTCGCCCCTGAGCTGATAACAGTACAGCCAAGATTTATTTACTGTACAGCTATTGTTGGTTTACCTTCATATAAATATCATGGATATTCGATGGGCTATTTAGTTTCATTATGATCGTCATATCTGCTGTTCTAGTGTCCGCCGATCTTGACCCGTATAGCCATGCCTTGAGTGTGAGTTGGGTTAGAGACCACCGAAAGGCGAGACCCCAGCTCCTAGCGCGCCGCGGCCGGGCGGCGGCGAGCGGGCACACGAGCTCGGCGCGGCAGAAGGTAAGTGGGGGCGGACGTCCGAGGGAGGAAGCCGGGCCGGGGCGTGCCTGCCACGGGGCTGGATAGGCTAGTCGCCTCACGGGGTGGTGCCACATGTCACGTAGAGTACGCCTTCTTCACCACTGCACTCATCTTCAATGTCCACGCGTAACTTGCGACCCGCTTGGCGCTTCGGGTGAGCTTGGTAGAGTAGTGGCTCGTCGGGAGGGGTGGCTGGTTAATGGGTGGCACCCTATGCTACTGGTTTGAAGTCTATGTGTGTTTTGTACTTTCTTTGTTATAAATTGTCCAGTCGTTTACTTGTGCTGAACCTGAATGCACTAGAAGTCTCGCAAAAATGATACGCGTAACTAATTGAATTACATCGTAACGCAATATCTTGATGTCGATCGATTAAAGCCTACCTTTGATGACATATCTTTTCGATAAGTTATTCATATAGGGACAGCTTCCTGTTGTTCTACCGTTCCCCTCGTTCCCGGTACGCTCTGCGGCGCGAGCAGCCCCGCCGTCTACATGACGCCCCGTCTGTGCCGCGCCTCCAGAGCTGATCGACTACACCCAGCCGGTGTACGTGTCGCGAGAAGACCCCAACTCGCGCCAGAACACCATCCGCGAGATCCAGCGGCGCGCTCACAGCAACGGCCAGTGGCCGCAGGTGAGCCGTGCGCATCATCCGGCCGTTCGTCCGTTCGTCTGTGCGTTCGTCTGTGCGGGCGGGCGGGTGGTTGTTCGTTCGTTCGTTCGTTCGTTCGTTCGTTTGTTCGTTTGTTCGTTCGTTTGTTCGTCCGTCCGTCCGTCCGTCCGTCCGTCCGTCCGTCCGTCCGTCCGTCCGTCCGTTCTCGTTTGTTTGCACGTGGTTGCGTGCATTTGTTGGTCCGTTCGTTCGTTCGTTCGTTCGTTCGTTCGTTCGTTCGTTCGCTCGTTCGTTCGTTCGTTCGTTCGTTCGTTCGTTCGTTCGTTCGTTCGTTCGTTCGTTCGTTCGTTCGTTCGTCCATTTGTTCATTCATGCATTCATTCGTTCATTCATCATTCATTCATTCATCATTCATTCATTCATCAACGCTTTCTCGTAACTATGCAAAACTGAGGAAAATTGTAACCAAGGATCGTAGAGAAATGAAGTCCTACCTGTTTAGAGACACTTGAAACAAGTGCAGTAATTAAACGAGCAAAGGACTGCTTGTTGCCGGGTATAGGTATACATGTTACGGCCCGTTTGAAAACCCGGCCCGTATTAATGCTGCCCGGCCCGCATTAATACTGACCGGAGACCTGGCCCGTATTAATACGGGCCGGTCAGCATTAATGCGGGCCGCCTTGCCGGTCGGTATTAATGCGGCCGATTTAGGTGGGCAGTATTAATGCTGCCCACCTTTTATTTCAAAACTTATCCGTCTGCTGCAAAATCAATTACATTAGCATGTTTTTATAGACTTCGGCTTACTGATAAAAGTTGAATGCCATGTGTAAATATTCGCCAACCCCGCCTCGAACCCACAACCATTCGATTACAAGACCGGAACATATACCCCGAGACTAGCGAACAGATCGAAAGGCAGTGAATTGGGCAAGCAGTTGAAACCAGTGCTCGGCAATGATATGGAACAAAACGTGCTCGAGAAAATAGATGCTATTATACGTGATTAACCCGCGCCCCGCTGGGGGGGGGGGGCAGAATCTGCCCCCCTCCCGTTTTTCGCCAATAACTTCTAAACGCGTTACGCCAGCGACGTCAAACTTTCGGTACCTTATCATACATCAATTTGACACGTTCCCTGAAAATTTGAGCGAAATCCGTCGGAAAATGTTTGAGAAATTGACGTTTTAGTGACGTCATGTTCGCCATTTTCGCCTCAAAAACGGCAAAATTTCAAACGCCGCTCACATCTTCATTTTTAAAGAAATCAAGACGTTACAAAAAAAGGTTATGCGTGATTCCACTTTGTCTATCAAATGGCTATCTCGGTTTTTGAAAATTTTGGATTTTGGCCCAAATTTTTTCTCTAAAAAACTGACTTTTTTGGGAAAATAATTATACAATCCAAAATTTTGAGTGTATAAAAAAACGAAATATATGTCAGAGAAGTGGTCTATGTGCACCTACATAGCAATTTTTTAGAAGAATCGGTTCAAAAATGTGGGAGTTATTCAAAATTTTATGACGTCACGACACACAAAAATTTTGAAAAATAATTTTTTTGGAAGTTCTAGACCTCGTACGGAAACCAAAATAGCACCATTCGATTCGCCGTGAAAAACTGCATCAGATAGACACCTTTTTAGGCCTTAAAAACCAATTTCAAAATTTGACCTCACTTGACCTGACCTTGAACTGACCTCAACCTGAAATTTATCCAGAGCTGGTCCATATCACTTATTGAGTGTGCCTATTGAATTCTATGAGTAAAGTGACCCATAAAACATTTGTCGCACATGCCCTTTTCAGTATTTTGTTTTTGGTGACTTGACCTGGCCTGACATGACCTTGACCTTGACCTTTGAATGACATTGTATGCAACGAATATTGCCTTGGTAGTCTAAGAACACGTTTTGGGCAATCAGTCTCAGTCCATTCTTCGGCAACTACGGTGCAAGGCCGATACTGTAGAAACTTGCATTTTGTACCCTTGACCTGACCTTGACCTGACCTCTGACCTACTTAAGCAAAAAAATTGGGCTCTTAAGATCCGCCTTGTTGAGAGCTTTCGATTGCCGTTTTCCCCGTCTTTCTACGACCATCGGTTCGGAAGTTAGACAAGGGGGGCAGAATCTGCCCCCCCAGCAGGGCGCGTATGGCTGAATAGCCCAGCGGGGCGCGGGTTAAAATAGTTCAAAACACCATTTAGAGAAAACAAACGAGGGTTTATCATAATTTTGTAGAGACAACCAGCAATATTCATCTAGACGTTGCCCAGGGTAATAAAAGCAGGTCTAACACATCGCCCAAGGTCACCTCAGGGAGTGCCGACACTGCCGCGCGCCCATTTCTTCCATTACCGCTGGAGGACCGACAGTGAGTATCAGCGTATCACGCATCTGTTTCATTTTCTGATCTTAATAACTAGTGATCATAAAGTGTATGGCAACTTCATTTTGAAAATGTCATAATTCGAGGACTTTAGCACTGATTTCCACTTAACCCTCGCACTTATAGGGGGGGGGGGTCGAACGGACCCCCCCCCCCCTCGTTTTTTCTTTGCGAATAACTCGCGTAAAAAACGGCCGATCGCGACGAAACTTTCAGTACCCTCGAGTTATTCAATTTTACATCTGCTCTAAAATTTCATAACCCTGACCCAAATGACCTTTGACCTGTGACCTGATCCTCGAGACCATGTTTGGCCGGAATCGCAATTCATCGTATGTTGGCTCATAATATCTGCGTGTTTCTAGTCTTGTTGTGGTTTTAAACACTGGAACATGTAATTGTAAAATGATGTTGTACCAATGCATTATGGTGGGTGTCAAGGTCATGTATGGTGTAAGGTCAAGGTATGGTTGGTCTATACGCTGAAGATACCACGAAACAAACATTTACTAGCCAACAGTCAGAAAGTATAAAATACATTTAAAACCACTGCAGGCCTACGCAGCATTTGCTAAGACATGGAATAGAGACTAGTTGGCTAGTTTTGATATGGCCCGAGTTTTCATATGGCCGTGAGGAAAAAAGTGGGCTGTATTAATACTGCCCGGCCCGTATTAATGTTGACCGCCAGGCGGCCCGCATTAATGCTGACCGGGGGCCGTATTAATACGGGCCAGGTCTCCGGTCAGTATTAATGCGGGCCGGGCAGCATTAATACGGACCGGGTTTTCAAACGGGCCGTAACATACATACGGCCCATCGAGCTGGTGAGCTGTGATACCGGTAAACCAGGCACCGATGGTTAGTTATGTGAGAGGGTAGGGCCTTGGCGCCGCCGGCTGCTCGGTACCGAAATAGAGACCGGCTGCTAGCTGACCCCGTGCCGCCGTTACACGCGCCGCCATGCCGTGTAATCCCGTAGATTGGGACCGAAATAAAAGCCGACGGCTAGCTGAGCACGTGCGGCCGTTTGTGGTGTGTAACCCCCCGGCCCCCGGACACACTGCACTGTCACGCGTGCGAACTTTACCGCTAGTCGCAAAACAATTCACGCTTTAGGTAGGTGAATAAAAAATGATCAATTTAGGATTCATGTTTAGCTAAATAGACGATGAATAGATGGTGTTTAAAAAACTTACAGGCGAAGTCACAGTTCATTTTGCGCCGTTCGGTTCGGCCCTGTAAATGTTGACATTATCATTCTATATGGAATCCCCAGAATCTCAGCTGTCGCGGTTGTTCAGTTTGTTTTGTTTAGTCCCGTCCTCGACGCCCGTGCCGTCGCTGTCTCGGTCCCGATGTCGCCTCTCCGCTGTGGAACAGCCGGCCCCATGGCCGCCCCACTGTGACTCAGCGGTCGTATCGACGCCCGCGCGACCTCCACCCTCCACCGCCGCGCCGCGGCCGGCCGGGACGGGACGGGACGGGACGGGCACCACTGTTTGCACGACTCGTGTCGACCCAAACCAGCCGGGTCAACTGACCGCTGCGCTGCCTCCGTCCGCGACCCTGTCCTGTATGTAAACAGATAGACGATGTCACAACGTTTTCAGAGGACAGAAGATACCCACGAGGGTGGGAAGTGACGGGGATGTTACAGCAGAAACGTAGCGATGAGTTTTCTCTCGATTTGCCACGGGCTTCTTTGAAAGGTGTTGCCAGTGGCGTCACCACGGTTTCAGAACTTCTAGGGACACTTTTCCAGGGCGTCGCCACAAACCTTTGCTTGAGTCTGGTCGGCATTACCCACCTACTCCCAAATCTGCGTACCTCGTTGGATTTCGGCCACTCTAATTTAAAAACGAGGGAGAATAATTAATATTTAGTTGGAAAAAAAAAAACGAAGAAGCTACGCGGTAGTAGGCATGTTGTTCGATCATGAAACGCGTGCCCACATCCTTCTGCCTATGCATGCAGGGACGGTCGCAGACTTGGCGTTTGAGGGGGGGGGGCAGCTTGGCAAAGAGGCCCTGTCGACCCTCGGGAGGCCCAGTGCCTCCCGAGCCCCATTATTGCAGGGGCCCCATTATTAACATACAGGCCTTTGAGGCCGGTATGGTAACCCAGCCAGCAAATCGGAGCTTTCCCCGTACGGGGAAGGCCTATGGCGAGCTTGGGGCGGGCTCGGGGAAACCCCAACCGTTCTCCTGGGGAAAACGGAGCGTTCGCTTGGGATTTGAGACACTTTGTACGGGGAACTTTGTGCGGGATTCGTACGGGGAAACGGTATAACTGCCCAAGCGTTCCCCAAGCGTCCCCCAAGCTACCCCCGCGCCGACTATGGTTAAAACCCGTTGTTAAGGTCGGTTCCCCGTACGGGGCTATCGAACATTTTCCCCAAGAAGATCCTGTGCGAGCCCCGCACATTCCCCTACCCGGCTGTACGGGTTTATGCTTACTGGAGACCTTCCCCGATCGGGGAAACCGTGATTTTCCCCTAACGTTCCCAGACCTTTCCCCGCGCGAACCCCGGCCGTTCCCCGACTTGGCAATGACCCCACTGCCTTGTCTGCTTTTTTCCCCGTACGGAGAAGCCAGTAAAAAAAAACGCACTGGGAAACAGATCGGGTCCCATTTAAATTGACAATGACTATTTATTTTGTCTGTAAACATACAAATATTTGTACACACATACTGGTTTACATACAAACAAAATTGTCCACTTGTTTTCCCGCAATAGGGAAACGATAAAACCACACGGGAAAATAATTAGAACCAATCCATTTGGCCATGCCTGTTTATTTCCAGACTTTCAGGATGCTTTAACGACTATAAAAAAATAGATCAATACACAATACACAATAGTCTCCCAATCAATATATATATAGATCAATACACAATAGATCAATACACAATAGTCTCCCAAGCATGGTATGTGTCTGTACCACCACAGCCTATACTATTTTTATGTGGAGTCCTTCATTTGATGAAAGGTTAACATACTTGATATACTCGTTACAAATCAAGACAAACACTAAAAAAGTTATTATTCAGTCAAAAAACATTGTGAACGCTTAGCAAGTGGCAAGCATGACATAGGTACAGCAGCAGCACAGCAGTGACAAACAACAGGTGACGAACACGAGCACTGGTAACAGGTCTAACCCCAGTTCTAACATGTCGAACCCCAATTTTCCTCTGCAGCAGGAGTCTGTTCAGCAGATTGAGAACGACGGCTTTGCTGTAGGCTCCCTACAGCTGGTCCCGCCTTCTGTTCGGTAGTGCCCTGGAACCACAACTCGAGTCTTTTTCTGGCTGTTTCAGACACATCTCAGCGGTCAGCTGCCGCTGAGAGCCACCTTGCTATGATCCATGTCCCAGCGCATCTCCAGGAATTCTGCGGCTGTGGACAAAAACAAAAATATGTGCACTTGTAGGTATGTTAATCAGGTTTTACAGCTAGCTACTACATGGAATGTCCTTATATAGAAACTTCAGCTTGCGCTGAAACATGTTGAATGCCATTTTATGAAATTACACTTATTTATAACTTTTTTCCCCACGAAAAGTGCTTAGAAATTGAATGTGATATACTTTGAATAGTTAATTACCAGTAAAACGCCTTTTGGGCGAAGAACGAGCGAGCGAGATAGTGAGCCCTGCACGTGCGGAAGGGCGAGAGGGTACTTCCAACGGGCTTGTGCAAAGCACCCTTCTAACCGGTCGCTAGTGGTGTACCAAATTTGAGCGCAATCGGCCCAGCCACTCCTGAGATTTGGAAGCGGCATTCTGCACGTGCGCACGTGCAAATGGGGTCCAAACTGACTTTTGCACGGTACCCTACTAACTGGTCCCCAACCGTGTACCAAATTTGAGCGCAATCGGCCCGGCCGTTCTCGAGATCTGGAAGCGCCCCCTGCACGTGCGCACGTGCAGTAGCACCCTAACCGCAACACATGGGAATGCATTGCCTGGTGGGTGCCTACCTGTATGCCAAGTGAAGTTTCAGCGAAATCGCCCCAGTAATTACCGAGTTATTAAAATGGGAACAAATTTAACACCTCTTATTGTTGTATTTTGCACGTGCACTGGGGGTGACCCACATGCATCGAGAGTATCCTATTTTTGGTAGAAGGGATGCTGCTACCCTACAAAAATTACCGCAAGTCAATCACCCAAGCGGCGGCTGAGATATGAGCCTCTCAAAATCACTACTTTTGCAAAACAGCTTGAACACCCTTGACTTTTCACGTGGCACGTGCCACGACGGTCACTGAGGTGTATCAAAAGTAGTCAATTACGGGGTAGAAGGGATGGGGCTACCCAGCAAAAAAAGACCGCAGGCTAATCGGTCCAGCGGTTGCTGAGATATAAGCCTCTCAAAAGCGTTACAGGCCGGGCCGGGCCGGGCCGGGCCGCTCATACTGAGATTTTTCCCTTATATTGAAAAAACTTCGCTTCGCTCGCTGCGCTCGCTCGCTCGTAAAAACAGGAAATAAAAATTCAATAATTAAATTTGTACTTCTAAACATTTCTCATTCCAGGAAAAGTCATTAGGTAATAAATGTTTTACGTCTATGTTACGCCTTACGAAGTTGACAGATAAATGAACGCCGTTTGACAGTTAAAATCGGTGGCTAGTTTATCAAGATAACAATGAAGTCCCTTTCACAAGCAGAGCTGTGTAGTAGAGCTGCTGAAACAGGCTCTTTCCGAAGACAGAAAATGGAGTGCGAGAGCCTATTCAAAATGCATGTCATTTATTACATACAATCGCGTCAATCGTTCGCACATCCCTGTAAGCGGTTGATGCGATCGTGATTTCATGTATTTAATTAATGGGCTCTCGCATGAGATTTTCTGGCTGTAGAAAGAGTGTGTCTCAGCCTTAAGACTTGGGTGAAGGACAGGTTGTTCAACAGCTCTAAGCTAACCCCCACCCCCATAAACTGCTTACCAGCTTCGCCTGGAAGTCGCTCTTCGGTTGCTCATGCGAGCAATTACGCATTAACTCCACGCCAGGCTCATACTGCTGTTGTGGGTTCTGCCAAGTCCCGTCGGAAACCTTTCGGTCGTAACCGGCAGACGTCCCTCTAGAACAGAAGCAGATAAAGCATTAGGCTGATGACATTATATTGTCCGGGCAATTTAAGGATAATCTCAGACGGAGGTTGATGACCTCATTCATTTTTACGTCATATTCTGCATATCCCAGACAGTGATCAAGATATTGTGTGTATCGAAAGCTTTGTCTTTTACAATAAACTTGAGTTAGTATCGTCATTTTATATCTGTCATGGATTCGTTACAAGTAAGTGTTTTAGTTCATTACCAACACAGCATAGCTTCCTCGTCGAGCTGCGTCCTCCGTCGGTGCCGAGTCCAGCTTCTCACGCACTGACCCCAGCGGTAGATCACGACTTTGGGCACTGGTCAGACAAGCGGTCACCACATCTCGCCGTTCACCGTCTTCGTTCACAGCTCTGTAGTGTCGCCGCACTCTTCAGTGCCAACCATGATCTGACCTGGAGCGGTACCTAGCCCACGGCTTGCTCCCACAACCGCGCGGCGCAGTGACTCTGGACCGACTTCCCCCGTTCGTCCCGTCTGACACGTCGGCACGGCCCCATTCACGATGACAGATGGGGACAGGAGACGCCCCTCAACCAGATGTGCGGACGGAACCGACGGCGGCCGGTCGTTGCTACCCCTCCCTCCCCTCCCTCGCTGTGTTGAGGCGACACTGCTCCTACTGGCGGTTGGGATTCGTCTGGGGATTAAGTGTAAAATCCCGAGCGGGGAATTTCAACAGTTCCCCTACTTTTCCCCAATCAAACTGTTCTAGAAAATGGGTCGGGGATAACGCACCCTTCCCCGTACGGGGAATCTGATCTTTTATCCGACCGAACCCCAACAGTGGGGTTTGATTGGGGAATGCTGCTCTTTTCCCGTACGGGGATCGGTATGATTTCCCCATGTCTTTTGAACATATTACCGATACAGTCGGGGAAGGGATGGGGAACACGGACCGTCCCCCGATCCGATAGGGGCATTGTACGTTCTCCCCAAGCTTTCCCCAACACTGTCCCCGCACCTTCCCCAACCGAATTGCTGGCTGGGAATATGGGGCCACTGTGGTAATTTGATGGCCGTTATGGTGCTATGGGGCCCCAGAGGCCGGTGTGGGCCCTCAGAGGCCAGTGCATGACGCCCAAAGGTAAGTCTTGGGCCCCAGAGAACATAATAGGGCCATCAGTGGCCGGTTTAGTGACCTCATAGGCTGGTTGGGGCCCATAGAGACCAGTTTGGGACCCGCAGAGGCTAGCGTGGGGCCTCAGATGTCACTGTGGGGCTTTTAAAGACTGGTATGGGTCCTTAGAGACCGGCATCGATCCTTCAGAAGCCAGTACGGGCCCTCAGAGGCACGTAAGGGCCAGTCTTGGGTCTCCAGGGCAGAAACTGGGCCATCAGAGGTCGGTGTGTTTAGAGGTCGGTTTGGGCCCTCAGAGACCAGTTAACCCGCGCCCTGGTGGGGGGGGGGCTATTTTTTGCCCCCTCCAGACTTTTCGATATATCTCCAGAACCGCTGCGCCGATCGTCACCAAACTTTCAGTACCCTCCCGGACATCAATTTTACACATTGTGACCAAAAATTTTTCCAAAGGCTATGATAGGTTGGCCGGAAATGACGTCAGAGTGACGTCATGTTCTGCCGTTTTCGACCCAAAAAAGGGTTTCGCGGGAAGAGCTGTCAGGCCTATAGCTTTGCAAATACAGAAAAACGATAAAGACATAAAAGCTGTAGAATTGACAGGGCTACAAAACTGCTATCTCGGATTTTTAAAATTTTTGGATTTTGACCCCCAAAAATAAAAAAATAGATTTTTTGATTATAATAGCCGAAAAATCCAAAAAGTTTTTTGAATTTCGAAAAAACCGGAATATATGTGATAGTCCTCACCGCCTTCTATCTACATACCAAATTTGAGATCGATACCTCTTTTTTTGGCCAAGTTACAGCGAAAAAACTGTTCAAAATTGATGACGTTAAATTTTCAAACTCAATTTTTTTGCAATTCTAGACCTCATAGCGCAAAACAAAGACCACCATTAGACTCCCCGTGACGAGCTGCATCGAATCAATACCCATTTTATGCAAAAATATCAACTTTGAAATTTGACCTTTTTTGACCTGACCTTGACCTGACCTCCACCAGAAAGTGACCTAAGCCGTACCTGATAGTCTTATAACCAACACCATTGAGTTGGAAATGAAAAATTGGCCATAAAACATGCATCGCACAACCTTAGTACCTAAAGTTATGTTCATGTGACCTGACCTGTGACCCTTGGTGACCTGACCTGTGACCTGACCTGGTAATGTCAGTGACCTCTTATAGCAATATATGTACTAGGCAACTGACGCCCTATCGATGATTCTCGACAAAATGCGTTTTCTTCGGTGTTATAGCACATTCCCTAGATGACCCGTGAACGGTGAAACATTTCATCTTTGACCTGACCTGTGACGTCATCGGTGACCCCGAGGTCAATGAAATTTGGTTTCCATCGACAAATTTGACAGACCTTTCGAACGCCGTTTGCATTTTGCGGATCCGTCCAGTAGTTTCGGAGATACGAGGGGGGGGGGGGCAAAAAATAGCCCCCCCCCCACCAGGTCGCGTTATAAACAGACCCCACCAGGGCGCGGGTTAAGGGCCTAATGGCAGTTTGAGACCATCAGAGGCCGACTTGGGCTCTCAGAGGCTAATGTGGGTCATTACAGGCAGGCATGGAACACTCAGGGGTTAGTGTGGGGCCCTTAAAGACCGGCATGGGCTGGCGTTGGACCTCAGAGGCCAGCAGAGGGCCCTCAGAGCCCAAGATAGCCCCCCAAAGGCCAATGCAAGCCATAAAAGGGCCGTTATCGGATCTTCCGAATCCAGTGCGGGACCCTCCGATGCTGATATTGGCCCTTACAGGGTGTCTCATAAGTTCGTTCTCACATTATATTTGCATGTGAAACAGAGTACATTGCGTCTTGATATATTCGTGACCCCTCGATGTGCTTCCCATTTAATAGGCAAACACATGAACACATGCTGCGGCATGCCAACCAGCATGTTTGGCTGCATAGCAGGCTTAAAGTTAATCCAGACTGACTTGACATGCGTCGTGAGCTCCTCGAGGCTGGAACAGCGCTACGCTTCGACGAGCCTAATTTTCAGCATAACCAACAAATTTTTATGAAATTTTGATCCGATGAGGTGCCTGGCATGTGGTCTTGCCACAAACGCCTGTCACAGTCTCCTTGCACCGCTTTTAAGCTTTGCTTGACATGTGCACTGATGCACTGTCTTGCCTGAAGATGGGCCTACGACCTCTCGGATGCCATTTTCTCCTCTATAAATGTGTTCATACTCGCGGTTCGAGTTCAGCTTGATGGTTGAAACTCCTCCCAGATGTTCTTGGAAAAGCATTATGCTTCCCAAAGCTGTTTCTGGGACACCAATCGCAACCTGGTCAGCGTCTGGACGCCTATAACCCCACAATACCGTGACCTTGGCCTTTCGCATAGGAACATAACGGGACGAAACGGAGGCCTCCCCCTTCGCCCTTATGGGGTTGTTTTCGGGTTTGGACGGGTGTTTCATCTCGAACGTGGACTATTTAGTCCAGATGACCTGGTTGATGTCCTCAGCCCTTTAGTTTTTTTTTTTTTTTAGCCTCAGGCATAACGAAACTCATGTTTGGCCATTTTAAGACGTTTTTGACTGTTTTGAGCCCTCCGGTAAGCAAAGCTTAAGTAACCTTGAGTTATGTACCCCGAAAGAACACTCTTAGACAGCTGGTAATCCATACTGAAAAGTCTGCTTACCAACTTTCTAACCCTTTGACCTTTTTGATGGCCACTTTGGCGCCACACAGTTTTGGCCACATGGCTCACTCCTGAGAGCTGACAAAAAAGAGGATAAACTTGCAATGATTGACTCCCGACAAATCATCGGTGTCACTTGCTGACTGTGCGTCCAGTTAGCGATGGACATTGTCTACAGACTGGTAGGCCTCAATCACCCTCAATCGTCGCGAATGGTCACGTGCTGACTAAATACCGAGACGTACCCGTATTGGAGACCTCTATGTTGCGGCGTTAGCCGTCTGTGTAGGAAATGTAGCACGCTACATCTTGAACATTTAACGTTGTATCTTTTCGGCACGGCTCGGTCCGGCAGTCCCCCCCCCCCCCTCGCAGTCCGGTCACAGGCCTAGCCCTCCATTCACACACCCATCGCTGCTACCGGGTGACGCACAGCTGAGCGGAGCGCTGCTGCTGCGCTCTCCTCCCCTCTCCATCATTCACTACCCCCCAGTCACCAGGCCCGCCATCCCCACTCAGCACTTTTCTCCAACTCCCCCAACGAGCACTGTCCGTGAGAATAGCCCGCAGTAGACACATCTGCGAGAAGACGATGCCGGTCACATCAGTACGAACCGTCGAGGCACAGCTGAGTCAACAAGCTACGTCAGGACTGCGGCGGCGGCGGCGAGCGAGCACGTTAAGGTACTCTGTCACTTGTCACGTACTCTGTCAGGTACCACAACAGCTGCGCCGCGCTGAGTCCCACGGTGGGAATGGCACAACCAGGAAGATCCTACGGCAAGCAAAAACGCTGTAGTCCCAGAGGTCTTCGCAATGGGCAGCCGTTAAACTCTCATTACAACGCCCGCCTATGGAGACAGCTACCGCAGGATGAGCGATCCGAACCTCCTCAAATAACGCTGGATCAGTAAGATATGTCAACAGATCATGGAGCAGTGTCAAGGATGGATGCCGGCTGGAGCACACAGCCTCCTTTGTCGGGCACAGCAACCCAGGGTGAGTGACCCTGGCAAAACAACCGGGTGACCGACCTCACAATGGCCTCATGAGGTAGTTCCAGAGATCTCCGCAGAGGAAGAAGGCGCTGACTTACGGCCACACCCGGTACAGTGGGCGGAGCAAGAGTGACGTCACAAGGGGCGTTGGCGGCAGACGAAACGGAAGGAAACAAAAGTTTGAATAAAATGAAATTGAAGAATCAAAATTAAAACTCGAAAATCACAAACCTTTCGGGGATTGTTTTATGCCAGCGATTACAAAAATACCTAATAAACCACTCAACACGAAGACGATTCGACGGCCAAAACTTGCAGGCACAGAGGAGCAAGGTACTAAACAGGACAGAGGGCGCCATCTTACGGACCCACCCACCAGAAGAAGGCAGAGGAAGATGACGGCGCAAGGGCGTGGCAGTCACCCCTCCCCCAACTATAAAAGGGTGCGCCACCCAACCAGAGGGAGAGTCACAGTCGAGCAGCCGAGAGTCACAGTCGAGCAGCCGAGAGTCACAGTCTGCAGCTGGAGCCGGGGACGCCTTCTGGGAGCCGCCGTCAGTCCGGGGGTCACCCGCGAGAAGCCTCTTCAGTTCGAGCGATCAGAACCGAGGACAGCCGCCGACGCTTGTGACCACACTGAGAAGCGGAAGCACAGAGAAACTCCAGAATGTGAGTGTTGTTGAAAAGTCTGCTCAATCCCAATCCTTGATCCCCCCCTCTGCCCAGCCTGCCGTGCCGTGACGACTGCCAAACATTTTCGGTTGCCATAAAATGCACTCTCAATTGGAATTGGAAAACTTAAATTACTTTGAAC